TTTGAGTGTTATTAGCTATGAATAAAATAACCAAAACAGAAGCCCCGAGTCAAGATCCCTTTTTAGGGCTATGGGAACACCGCCTACAAAGTCAGATTACAAAGATAGGGCGGTTTTATGCGGAGGCAGGAGACGAGAAAAAGGCGAAGCGTTGTGAGGAATGCGGGACATTTCCAGCGTTTGAGCTTTATGAGCACCTCATGACAGCGGAGCAGAAGCGGAAGTTAAAACACGCCAATTTTTGCGAAGTGAGATGGTGCCCCACGTGTGCATGGTTGAAGTCGCGGAAGTATGCTGGCGAGGTGAGAAGCATACTGATCCAGCTTGAAGCCCTGCGCCCTGTTCGGTATGTCTTCCTGACCTTGACCATTGAGAACCCGCGCCTTACGGAGCTTAAGACCGCCCTTAAGACCATGAGCAGGGCTTTCAATCGTTTGACGGAGATGCCGGAGTTTAAGGGCGTTGTTTTAGGCTATATTCGCGCCCTTGAAGCGTTAGGAGGAAACACGCCCGCAGGGGAAGCGCACCCGCATTACCATTGCCTCCTTGTCGTTAAGCCCGAGTATTTTAGCAAGGGTTACATCACCCAAGCCCGTTGGGCGGAGCTATGGCAGAGATGTTTACGCGTTGATTATGTTCCTGTTGTCGACGTGAGAAAGATCAAACCGAAGTCGGCAGAATGGACAGCCCGAGACAGTGCGATATTTGAGACCCTGAAGTATTTAGCCAAGCCTCAAGACATTCGGAGCTTGTGCCAGAAAGATTTTGAGGAACTTGATCGCCAGATGAAGGGCATGAAGCAATATACGCAGGGCGGAGTGTTGAAGGACTTTAAGCCAGAAGAAGCGGAAGGCTTTAGCCCAGAGGAATGGAAGTTACTCGGCATAGAGTTTTACGAATGGGCAGGCAAAGAATACCGGTTACTAAAATTCAAACCCGTTTAGAGTTCCCCGATGATGTAGTGAACCCCGATGTATATAAGGGCGCAACAACGACTTACTTCGTAAGTCATGCGCTAGGGGATACCCCTAGAACCCGTCAGGGCATAGCCCCGAACCCCGAAAAACGCCCCTCGTTTTTGTCTGGCTTGATGACCAAGCACGCCCGTCATTGTAGCGGAGTAATGGGAGCGGAACCGCGCGGCATGAGTGCCCGCAAGTTGGGGGTGAGGGGAACTCCCCTCCAAGAGCAAGAAGCCCAACACGCGGAACCGTCCAAGCACGTCGCAGGAGCGACCCGGAACGGACAGCTTGCCCCTTACTTCCCTCATGAGCCTAAACCCGCACGGAGAGCCTCCCAGAATGTTGCAGGAGCAACACGGAGGGTTACACGTGAGGAGCAATGCCCTACACGTCAGCAGGAGCCTCCTAGAGCGTCAGAGAGCGTCCAGAGGGGTAATCATCAGGGCAGTGGTGCCAAGACCACGCAGGGGAGCCTCCTAGAGCGTCAGAGAGCGTCCAGAGGGGTAACATTTGAACCCGTTAAATGTTCGTTTTTGGAGGGCAAAAAATGCCCCCAAAAACACCCCACTTAACTTAACTTGATACATTACGAACAACTACCAGAACGTAGGTAGTGATAATCTCGCAGAAATCAGGAAAAAAATAGCTTGAGAAAATTAGTTGAATGGGGTAGATCTGTATGTAGTCAAAACAACCAAACTACCCCATGGGACTTTTATACCCGATATGCTGAATCTAGCGCGAACTGGAGTATCAGCATTAGCTAACTTTGAGTGTTATTAGCTATGAATAAAATAACCAAAACAGAAGCCCCGAGTCAAGATCCCTTTTTAGGGCTATGGGAACACCGCCTACAAAGTCAGATTACAAAGATAGGGCGGTTTTATGCGGAGGCAGGAGACGAGAAAAAGGCGAAGCGTTGTGAGGAATGCGGGACATTTCCAGCGTTTGAGCTTTATGAGCACCTCATGACAGCGGAGCAGAAGCGGAAGTTAAAACACGCCAATTTTTGCGAAGTGAGATGGTGCCCCACGTGTGCATGGTTGAAGTCGCGGAAGTATGCTGGCGAGGTGAGAAGCATACTGATCCAGCTTGAAGCCCTGCGCCCTGTTCGGTATGTCTTCCTGACCTTGACCATTGAGAACCCGCGCCTTACGGAGCTTAAGACCGCCCTTAAGACCATGAGCAGGGCTTTCAATC